TTTTTTTTTTTTTTTTTTTTTTTTTTTTTTTTTTTTTAATTGGTCAACCGCTCCTCTGCCCGTCTTCCCTAACTCCCCTGCTGTTTCCAGACTGTTCCAGACGCAATTCCGTAGCGCAACCGCCCGGTCAAACCAACGCGTCTGAGGTACAAGACCATCTGGTACCATATTTATTTGTCTTTGACTAAAAATGCATGAACCTGGTCATTTACAAGGCCAGGAACGTGCTTATCTAAACACAAACGTAGCACCAGTGCAGGACTGTGATCGGTCAGCCCGCAGCGATCCGCTTGCTGCTGCGCCTAACTGCCGGTTTCTCGCCGCCGAGCAAATTTCCCCTACTCGGCAAAGAAATGAGGGGGCCAGTAGGGCGCCCCCTTGACTATGACATCGGGTCGGGAAAAACTATTCCTGAGCGTGAGCGTCACTCGTTCCCTTTCCGGCTCTCTCCCTTGCTGCCCACTTCACCGAAGCCTCCAGTACAACCCCTCGAGTGGATAGCTTTTTGAGCCTGCCTGTACCTTCTCAAAGTGGCCTGCCTGTACCTTCTGGAAGTGGCCTGCCTGCGCCTTCTCCAAGCCGCCTGCCTGCACCTTCTCAGAGTGGCCTGCCTGCGCCTTCGCAGAGTGGCCTGCCACTTTCGCTACCAGCCCGGGCCCGAAGCCAACTGCTCTTTACGCACTTGCCAGGGAACTACATAGGTTCGTGTATACTGTTGGGGTGTGAACTCGTGGTTTAATCCACCACTATGTTTCCCAGCCATCGTTTTCCCAGCAAAACGGGTAGCATGTTCTGCTTGGATAGATGTCCACCGAAACAGCACCGCGGTACAAACACTCGCATAAGCCGTAGACAATGACTACTGCATGCAGCAGATGGCATTGCGGTTTGTTTATTTGTCCTGTCAAGTCTTTCCCGATTCAATGCACATCAACGACCATTATACACTATGGGAATAGGTGGTGGATCGGGATCGGGGAACTACCCGTTTTCCCCAGAATACAATGCACCCTTATCATCACGTAGGCAAGCGATGTTGGCAATGATGTTTCCGGTTCTATGTAATCATGATGACATGATGATGATGCATTATGTTCGGGCGAAGACATCGGGATCCGGGAACTACCTGTCTTCCCCATAATACGATGTAACCTCATCATGGCAGTAGGCTAACATTGCTCGCACTGTCTTCGTTCCTATATAGTCATATGATGACATGATAAGAATGCATTGTGTTCAGCGGAAGACGGGTACTTCCCCTGAACTTTCAGAAGATCTTGCCTGTATTGATTAACTCTACTAATTGCAAGAGTGTCTCTCAGGTTTTGACCCTACAAAATATATATGCATTCCACAGAATCCACACCGACATCAACACAAATCCTGCCTATCATGTCCCTAAGTGCAGTATCATCTACCAAGTTGCCACATTGTCACACTTTTTTGCCATCCACTGCCAAGCCGTTTACTTATCTCAATCTTGATTTGACTTCTGCGTCAGCAGACACTAAAGCAGGTGAACAAACTCAAGTTGAAGTTAAAGATGATTGGTAACAATCTGTGTAGCACACCGAACATGTTCGGCGCCCCACCGAGCAGCCGAACGTGTTCGGGTGCTCGGCCGAACGCGAACCGAACATGTTCGGCCGAGCACAAATTAGAGGGTTGTCGAGCGCGTCCTCATGTGTGTGTGGTGTGTGGTGTGTATGTGGGGTGTTTGTGGGATGTCTGGGGGTGCGTGTGTATGGTGTGTGTGTGTGTATGTTTAGGAGTCATGAGCGATGCCCCCCAGGGCCCCCCAACCCCTATATATATAAAAAATAAATAAATAAATAAATAAATAAATAAATAAATAAAAAATGTTCGGTCTCGATCTATTTTGGGTCACGTTCGGGCTCGGTACCGAGCGTTCGGGTTCGGTCACCGAGCCCGAGACGCGATGCTACGCAGGTAACAATATACTAACAAAAAAAAAGAATTCTAATAAGAATTGACTTTCATAAGTTTTTTCTCATTTTCAATCGCAAAGTCAGTCTCTCTTGTCAAGAATGAAAATATTAGCATGATAAGTGTTTAGTCATACAGGCTATAAATTTCCTACACACCAAAAGTTCAAAACATTAAACAATAAATTAAATAAGAATTTGACTTAGCTCAATTCTTCACTCTACTTGTGACAAAGCTAACAAGACAAACGCTAGCGTCATTGATACAGTGGTCTAAGAGTGTCGACTCACTCCTTGGTGTCTATCAAGAATGATGAGTAGATGACAATTTTTACTGCTCACTCTCTCCAGCATCATTCAACAACCATAATCTTGTTTGATCACTTGTCCTTCTTTTTTTCAGTCTTACCCTTCTCCCATTCCGCCTTATCTACCTTTCGCTATCCAGAAATACACAGCAGTCTGTTTCTAACACATTTAACATGTACTACCCTCAACGTGTGGCAATAGGGAGGGTTATTCACAAAATCATAACATAAATATATCCTAAGTATCTCATCATCAAAGATAATTCGTTCAAAACCGGCTCACATTTGAAAAGAAGTCTATTTCAATGAACTATATATCTTTTTTTTTTCGCGACAGAAAATTGATACTAACTTATATTTGCTTATTGCTTTCACCATGGAGACATTGTGAATACTCTTTCGCATACACACTAGAACCAGAGCAATAAAATATTTTGGTGTTCGTTGTCCCCTTTGAACACTTTCCACCCAAGATTGGTTTACATAGTACTATGAGTACATACCGCTTCCCTTTGATATGACTTCACAACTTACCGCCATGTTCGCTAACTCTTTCCAGAGGCAGCCAACCTGTTCCTTCTCACCCTTCGCACAAGCGACGTAAGTACTAGAGAACGCCGCAGTATGGCCGCAATGCACAACCAATGTCACTCACCCATGTTGTAGCAGTCGATGATTCATATTCTAGCAGTCAACAATTTAGTTAACAATTTTTTTATGGCTAGGTCGACGAATCAATCGAGATGTAACTTTTGTTTTATGCCTTTCAACTTTTCAAGTGAAGGTTAGTAAAGTGGATAGTCACTTAAAGAGCCTTAGAGAGGTCGAAAAGCATAAAACAAAAACCAGTCGAGATGTTATTTTGAATGAGTTGGTCATTGTTTTCCTCAAGGGGCTCACACTTTTTTTTTTTAATAGTTAAAATTTTAAATTAGTTAAAATAGTTTGACAACATGTGTTGTGTCGCAACTGCATCAAGATTTTTAGGTGTTAAGGAATACGTGAAACATGCGGGAGTCGGTGACCGAGCCAACACACTGTAATTTATATAGATTTAGCAAGCTTCATGTGCTCTTTTGCTATCGAACCTATATATTGATTAGTGAACTTCTTGTGCACTTGTGCTACCGAACCCATTGTTGGTATTCTGTGTGCCCAGGATAGGAACGAGAGGAATGTATAAAAAGTAGTATATATATACAAAATAGTATCGGGTTTCACTTCCTAGTATCAGGGTAGCTTATATGTTCTTTGGCCGTCTGTTAGTTCTTAAACGAAAAAATTCATTACCTTTATTCAAACTTTATGTCCGGGGGGATCCATGTGTCAGGTCAAGGTATCTAGACCCTAAACCTGAAGCGTGACAGAGGGGACCAAATGGCCTAGCTCAGTTGGTACATCCCCTTTAACTGTTGAAATACAAACATGAGTTCAAATACAAATTAAAGCAGATGATGATACTTCACGGCCGTCACCTTAAAAAAAAAAAAAAGGTTGAACTCGAGATCTGACCTAAGTGTGAAGCAACCATGCGTAGTCTTTATTTTATGTTTTTTTGGAGTTGTTGTCAGTCAAATTCGAACGAGCGGCGCGAGTAAGCTGACTTGGTCAGACACACTAGTGGCATTCAGGAGGTCATGGCTTCAGTCCCCACTAACCACCAGCAACACTGCCAACTTACGTATGCTCCGCGATCCCGGTGGCTAGGGGGTGACCGGGCGGCCGGGGCGGTCAGTCGCGGCCACATCCTGGGTGCATTTTTTCACCCTCAAAAAAATAACCAAAAAAGGGAAAAAAAATACAGGCCCGTAGGTCCCGACGAGATCTATAACCTTGTCATTTTCGTTTTCTTTTGCAGACACTTCAATGAATTTTGAAAAATGAAAAACAAAAAGAGTTGTTGATGGCGCTAAAGCAAAAGTTGTCGAGTTTATGTTTTTGGTAAGAAAAACAAGAAATTGTTTGTTTGTTTTTTTCAAATTTGGTATTTTATTTATTTATTTTTAAAGAGAGGGTCCGGGAACCAGGCTCGACATCCCCTATATTTAAAAGAGCTAGGAATTGGTCCTGGCGTCCCTCACGAAAAGGTAGGTGGTATCGTCAGAGGGTGAGATATCACCGGTCAAACCCAAGGACCGGACCACCACCGTTAGCACTCATCCCCAAAACAATGCACCTGAAACAAACCCTAATTTCCACTCTTCGTAAGCTGTGTCCTGAGACTACAAGTCCTGGAATGCAAAACGACGGTTGATGTGACCCTAAGGCCAAAAGTTGTTCACTTGCATAGCATAGTTTTCTTTCGTTTTTTGTTTTTTTTTGTTTTTTTTTAAATAGGCTATATTCTTCTCTCAATTTCTTTTTTGAGTTTCATTACCTAGTACCTACCGACCACTACTCCTAAGGCTATATACTATATAGAGGGGACCCCTGCAAACATAGGGCCTCACAAACTTTAAGTTAGAGGTATACATGTTGCCCCCTGCCCCAACAGCGGTAGTGAAAGATGGGGTGGGGCTGCACGTGCGGGTCCACCTAAAGCAAAGACCAAGCATTTTGCCAGTAGCTGCACCTCCCTTTTCATTTTCGGAATTTTTTTTTGTTTCCTTGAGGGAGGGTCCTGGTCATGAGCGGGACCCCGCGGTCACCCCCAGCTGTGTCCAGCCCGGTCAGCAGCCAAGGAGATTCATAGGTGCCAACCTACTACTGAGATAGTTGGCTTGCTTGGATGGGGTCGTTGGCCATCATGGGTGTGCGACTGTGTTTGAGTGTGTGAGTTGTGTGGTGTGTGGGAGAGTGCTGGCCACAGGTACTCGATGGGGGCGCGGGAAATAGATGGGAGGCACAGCTACTGGCAAAATGCTCACTCCTTGCGTTACCCCCCCCCCCCCCCTCTCTCCTCCCCCCTGACTGGCCCAGCCTACTCCCTGACCACAGCAGATTCGGGTGAGGGGCAACATGCATCCCCTTATCTGGGAGGTAGCTATGCAGGTAGCTATACTGTATAGGCTTAATGCTCACTGTAGCGCAGGCAGGTAGTGGCAGGCAGGTAGCGCAAGGTGAAATTGAGAGAACAATACAATATAGCCCTCACTTTTAAAAAGAATTAGCCTTTTTAATGAAATAAATAGATTAAGTTTAATTAAAAAAAGAAACCGTTGGTCCCCCCGAGTGGCATTGAGCAGAGACTGCTGATGTTCGTAGGGGGAGGGGACCGGAGGGGAGGCACAGTGACTGGCCCATCGAAGAAGCTCGGTCCTGATGCTACCGGCTGACCCCTGGCCGGTATCGCCCACCTGCTGTAGTAGGTATTGCACCTGCTGGTGGGTGCAGCTCCCGCATGTTCCCTCGTTGGAGGCTTGAGCACGGATGTGGCTGCTACGGGGTTCCCCGTATAATACTATAATGACCATTAAAAAAAGGCCTGAAATGCCGTCCTGTCCAGATTTGACAGGTAATTGAATTGGTTGGGCAGAAAAAAATGTTGTTACCGAAAAAAAAAAAAAAAAAAAAAAAGGAATGTTGTTACAGAACCAAATGGTCCTAGACATCTAGAACTCTGTAGGCGGCACTACTGGGGCGAGGTCCCACTAGCGAAGAGGATCGGGTAAAGCTCCTGAATCTGGGCTTGGTCTTCAATCTCAATTTTCTGCACCCTTTGCACAAACCCGTCCATATTCAGGCGTTCAATCCAATCCTCTTTGCTAGTGGGACCGCGCCCCTGTAGGGCCCCGTAGGCCCAGGCCAAACTGGGCACCATAAAAGTTACGAGCTAGCTGACTTCGCTAATCAGTTTCATATCGCGATGTGCGCGGAGCGACCAAGAAGAATGAGCGCACAGACTGGCAGCTGACTGAAGGTGAGCGGCTCTGCGCAGCCATAGCGACTGGCTAGTATCTTCACCATAGCCGGTGTCTTCACCATAGCCGGTGTCTTCGCCGTAGTCAGCGTGTGCGCAATACGCAGCGTGCGTCGGCTCTGCGCCGCGCACGTGGCGTTTTTCTAATCTGCTGCTCAGTCTAGCGTGGAGTCAACGTTGACATCATCTTTTTTCTCGGTTTTATCTTAATTTGTCCGATTTTGTCGTTTCCTGACAGTGTGTGTCATCCTCGCGCAGGTGCCATGCTAATCTTCTGTGTATCGTTCGAGTTTTTTTTATTTATTTTTTATCTTTTGCTTTTGGAGAATCGTTCGATTTAACGGCGGTAATGTCCCGATGGGTACACTCGTTCTCGGTTTCATGAAATTTGCGGGGGTGATCTATGACCACGAGGTCGGCGCTAATCTGTCTGCCAATCGTCATTTTCGGCGGCGTCATCCCTTGAGTTCGTTAGCGTGCTGCGCACGGGAAGAAGTTGAAGTATGGCGTACTCCTGCCGGGAGCACCGTGTGGGCCGACCTCCCATATTGGGGGTGACTTAACCAAAATTGGGGAGTGGCTAACAAATCAGGGGGTGCTCATCGACCCCCAATAATGTCGAGTCAATAATCAGCAACCCAAAAAAAGGAAGTAAGCTTGTGGGTGACCTGTCCGTAATTTTTATTGAAATGAAATACTCTACTGAAATACTCTACTACGTCTCCTGAGGTGTATATAAATTCGATAAACTATATGTACATATATGTGTGTATATATGTATATATGTGTATATATGTGTGTATGTGTATATATGTGTCTGTATGTGTATATGTGTATATATATGTGTGTATAATATACAAACATGTACTACGTTCTAGGATTCGTTTGCCCCCCGTATGTAATGTTTGGCTGTTCCCTTCCTCTTTTCTCCTCTTCGCCTTTGGGCTGTGTGTAAGTGGGTCGATACGACACACGGGGGTGGGGGCAGCCGCCGCTCAACCTCCATTCACGTGGACGGCCTTGTACTTGTACGCAAGAGGTTCTGGACAGGGGGAGTCGTAAGGAAGAGGATTAATAAAATGATGTTATTTCTTCTTTATTTCGCATTTGCGCTCTGATAAATTTGTGACGATATATATGTGATTCATGTGGCGAATTATGTGTTAGACTCCTGATGTGGAAATGCGACGGATCAGTCTGTCGCAGGCTCACAGCGCCTTGCACGGTGCACCGGGCAGTTCGCTGGCAAGATTATGTAAGTACTATGTAGAAGAATGTCATGATATATGCATATGGGGGCAGGCTGGGCAGCCGCCGCTCAACCTACATCCACGTGGGCGGCCTTGAGGGCAGTTGTTGGTGGTCCCCACCACCTCGAGGGCGGTTGTTGGTGGTCCCCACCACCTCAGGGTTACCTTATCAGTTGCCAGGAAGTCGTTGTTGTTTAATCGTATCCGGGGTTAAGGTGGATTACCACTTTCATTGTGTTAATCAGTCAGTTAGGGGATATAGACTGCCTAGGGTGCAGCCTCCTGATGAGAGTCAGTCGGTGTAACTACGACGAAACAGTTTTTTACATCCCCTCCTCGTTTGTTGTCCTCTTCTCCTCTTCTCCCTCCCTCTCTGTCCCTACGTTTTACCGCAGAGCATATTTGTTTGTGATACTACATATGTATTGAGTTATATCACTGAACAATTTGCGAGATTTAAGTCGTTTGCGCGTTCTTCCTGCCGGCGACGAACAATTTGTCTCTGTCATCTGACTCATCTTGGATTCGAGCTTGGGTTATATTTCCATAGCGCCTGGGACCATGGGTGGTGTGGTACCAGTACTACCAACTGCTCGCCGTGCTCGGGAGTTATAGCCCCTGACACTGAACAGTCTGCCTGACAAGTCGTTTGTCGTTTGTGCCGTCTCTTCCTGCCTGCCGGCGACGAACAATTCCTGAATCCGTCTGGATTTGTGCCTGGGATCTATTTCAACAGTCCATAGGTGTAGCAGCTTGCGATATGCCCGTTAACAATTCCCCCCCCCCCCCCGTGCGGGATAAAGTGGGTCTACATTTCATTTCAACAGCTCATGTGGACGATTGTTCCAGTGCGGGGTAGAAACCTGGGTCTACATTTCGACAGCTCGTGGGTGGGTGGGTGAGTGGGTGTGATCCACTCGCCAGGCCTTTTTTTTTTTTTTTTTGAGGGATTCGAACGCGGGTCTACATTTCATTTCAACAGCTCATGTGGACCATTTTTTCCAGTGCGGAATAGAAACCTGGGTCTACATTTCGACAGCCCGTGGGTGGATGGGTGGGAGTAATCTACTCGCCAGGCCTTTTTTCTTTATTTTCATAAGGTTTTTAAGGCCCGTTGACAATTGTTGCCTTGCGTTGTCGGTACGTTGTTGTTTCTGCAGGTGATTTGCGATTCCTTGCACGGCCGTACTTTCGTGGTCCTCGTATGGGGGACCGTGTCTAGAAAGTCAACGTCAACGTGGCTAGAAAGTCATCGCCAACGTGGCCACGTAGAAAGTCAACGTCAACGTGGATAAAGTCGTCAACGTGGACAGAAAGTTGACTTTGTCTAAAAGCTGACGTGAACGGAAACTGGAAACTGAGAAAAGCGGAGTCGGCATCGAACTGGGAAAGCGGAAGAAGGGGGGGGGAAAAGGAGAGTTGGGTGTGCGCATGCGTGCGCAAGGATTGAGAGACTGATCGTGAAGGGAAGGGAGGGGGGTATAGGAGTTGGGTGGCGGAATTCGACGACGCGGGTGCAGCGCTCAGAGACTGCAAGATGGCTCGTCATGGCGTTGCTAATCTGCTCGTCCCGATCCCGATTGCGGCAATTATGTTGATGTGTCTCATGTGTCCATCTCTTGTCTGGAGAGCTCCTGGCTATGGCAGCCGCTCGGGCGGCGTCATCATTGGTGCGGCAGCAGTCGAAGTACAAGTGGACGTGGATGGGAACGTGAAGGAGGTTGGAATCGAGGGCGGAGCGGAGGGGGAGGAGGGGGCGAAGACGCGGGCTAGGTCCGTGTTGGACTGGGCGAAGGAGAAGGCCGCGCAGATGGGGCGCAAAGCGGAGGAAACAGCTGCGGAAGGCGTTGACGCGACGACGGGCGCGGTGACCGGCGCAGCGGCGTCGGGCGCGGAATGCGTCAAGGGCGCAGCCGCGGCGGGGGCGGAGAGCGTGAAGGGCGCAGCCGCGGCGGGTGCGGAGAGCGTATCTTCAGCAGCTCATTCCGCGTACGAGAGCGGTAAAGAGTCCGCCGGAGAAGCGGCAGGCAAGGTGAAGTCCTCCCTGGGAGAGAAGGTGGAGGCTGCAAAGGAGAAGGTCGAGGGTGTGGCCAGAATTGCTATGGATAAGATCAAGGGGTCAGCGTCAGATTCCGCAGAAGACATCGGGGACACAGCTCTGGAAGGAGCGAGGAAGACGAAGGAGAAAGTCACAAGCTCGTCGGTGGGAGACTCGACTGTAGGAGTCAAGGATGCGGCGATGGATGGTGTGGAAGAGAGGATGGGAGAGGTGGAAGAAGCTGGGGGGAGAAAGGGAGAAGAAGTGGGGGAGAAGGCAAGGGAGGCGGCAGAGCAGACCGCTGAGGGTATGGCTGAAAAAGCGGAGGGTGTCAAAGAGAAGGCCAAGAAGAAGATGGAAGAGATGGCCAGGAGGGTGGGAGAAGAAGTGGGAGAGAAGACCAAGGGTATGGGAGAGAGTGCAGCGGGTAAATCGGGCGCCGCCAAGGAAGCGGCGAAGGAGAAGATGGAAGAGGTCTACGAGCAAGCGAAGGGCAAAGATGAGCTGTGAAAGCTCGCCAGTGCATGTGGATGAAAGGCGGACAAGTTCGGCGTCCTCAACTGGTATTACGGAAAAAGGGGCTGGATGTGGCGACGAACTGAAGGCAGTGGAGAAGGGTCGAAGAAAAAGCTGATGCTACGTGTGTGTGCAGAGCCGACTGCATGGTGTCCCTTCTGGAAAGGGAAGAGCGTGGGAATTACTTTTTTCAAAGAAATCGAAAGAACAGGAACTCTCTCTCTCGAATTGTGAAAAAGACAAGAATGTTGCGGGCGCTTCTGACCATGTTCTAGCGGGAGGTTCATTCTCATTTTGGACATTTCCGAGAGCGGTGTGGCGATGCACTAAGTCAAGGATGAGTTGTAGAATAGTGTATGCAAATGGATGGCTGATATTGAGTTTTTTGAAAACGTGTCGGCCACAAATAACGAAAACAAAAAAAAGAAAATCAATTGGTCTTTGAGGAGAAAGAGGGAGAAAGGAGAAAAGGGGAAAAGAGAAAGGAAGGAGAAAGGAGAGGAGAGAGAGAGAGAAGGGAAGGAGGAAGAGGAGAGAGAGAGAGAGAGAGAGAGAGAGAGAGGAGAAAGGGAAAAGGTGAAGAGAGGAGAGAGAGAGAGAGAGAGAGAGAGAGGGAAAAGGGGAAGAAAGGGAGGAGAAATGGAAATAGAAGGAGAGAGAAGGGAAGGAGGAAGGAGAGAGAGAGAGAGAGAGAGAGAGAGAGAGAGAGAGAGAGAGGAGAAAGGGAAATGGTGAAGAGAGGAGAGAGAGAGAGAGAGAGAGAGAGAGAGAGAGAGAGGGAAAAGGGGAAGAAAGGGAGGAGAAATGGAAAATGAAGGGGAAGAAGGAAGGAGGGAGAGAGAGAGAGAGAGAGTGGGGGGGGGAGGAATGTCCACGATTAGCGTTTGTTTATCCTTCCTTTGTAGGCCACGAGCGGGATGGCGGGCACAGGTTAGACAAAATTTTAAGGGCATAGTCATACTGCGGTCGGACTTTCTTGGACGTGTATGTGACCGCTTTTCCGATCCAGCCTGGATGCACCTGACCGCAATTACGTCCGGAGAGAAGTAGAAAAAGTCGTAGTGTGAGTATACATGGCCCTAATAATGCACGCTGAGTAAGAAGTGCCGCGCTAGAGGTCAGCCCGAATCTACAGTTTCTCTTGATGTCAAATAGGGGGTGTCAGTGGTAGGTTAGCTTTGTTCTGGTTGGTTTTTTTTTTTTTTTTTTCCCATTCTGTAACGGAGGAAGTGAGACATCGAAAAAAAAAAGAAAAAAAGTTAGTTGCACATCGGTTTTTTTTGGTTTTTATTTCTCCATCGTGAGGTGCGATTTTTCGTCTTTTCGTCGTGACATTCGGCTTTCTTGTACTCTGAGGGATAAGAAGAAGAGATCAATGGTCACGTATAAGGGAGAAGAAGAAGAGGGAGGGTGTCGAAAGTTGTGCATGCGTGCAATACTGTTTTGTCGGACTTTTTTTTTTCTGTGGGACTTGTGATCCTTTTTTTTTTCTTTGGGACTTTGCCTAGCAAATAGTGAAACAAAGACGAGACCTATTTAGTAACACACCTACCTTTTTTTTTTGGTTTCTAGGCAGTCAGACTTTTCTCGTGTCGAGAGTGATTGCATGGGTTGGGAATTTCTATTGACGTCAGTGAAGTGTCTATGGGGAAAGGTTCAGGTGTGACGTGGTCCCTTTTTTTTGCGGGTTTGTTTTTTTTGCGGGTTTCTTTTGACAATCAACGGAAGGTGTGACGTGGTCCCTTTTTTTTGCGGGTTTCTTTTGACAATTACGTCTCGGTACAGAAGCGGCTACGTATGTCATTTGGATACGGCTTGACGTGTGAGCGTGGTGGGTACATTTGTTGGAGTCAACAGAAGCGTTATGGTGTGTAGGAGGGTCAAGTGTGCGGTAGTTTCTCGTAGTGCTAACTTGTGTTGATGTTCCTGTAAAAGGTGAGGAGTGAGTCGCCGATTTGTGTTGACGTTCTTGAAAAGGTGAGGCGTGATTCTCTGTACGAGAGGGCACGTCTGGTTAGATAGTCGCAGGGTATTTTTTTTCTTTTAGATTTTTGTTTAGTTTTTTCTACGGACGTCATCAGAAGGTGTCTTCTCATTTTACTTTTTTTTTTTTTTTTTTTTTTTTTCTCCTGAAGCGTTGACGGTTGTCTTGTAGTGCCGTGTGTAGTTCGTGGTGTCTGAGGTAATTTCGATGTTTTAGCTGGCGGGTTGAGTGGAGGACTGCGCTTCATATTGGGCGGTGTGGGCCAGCGTGTGAGCTTTGTAGTTTCTGTTGTCGACATAGCAAATAAAGCGCGTTTGTGTACAGTGTACGAAAGAGCTGACGTGTCGCGTTTCATGCGTGGTAATGTGGTACGTTGAATGTGGGACCTACGTTTCACGTAAAATGATAGCTGAAGGGGTATGCGTTATTTTTATCTTTTTTTTTTCTCTACGCTTATTTGTCTGTGCGCGTTTGCGAGCATGAGTACATGCTGGGAACTTCATCGCAATATCACTATTTGCGCGTGAAGAGCAATCGGCCATTGCTCGTCTTCTTTCTTCTACGCTTATGTGTCTGTGTGTGCAGTATGTCTTAGTTTGTGTGTTTCTGTGTTGATGTCACTGTATAGCAAAAGATGACGTGCGCCGTTTGATTGTGGGATTGATTGTGGCCGTCTTACGTAAAATGATTGATTGCGGTAAAATGATTGATTGCCGTAGAAGTACAGCAAAAGCTGACGTGCGCCGGTAGATTGTGGGATTGATTGTGGCCGTCTTACGTAAAATGATTGATTGTCGTAAAATGATTGATTGCCGTAAAATGATTGATTGTCGTAGAATGAATGGAGTGATAAAATGATTGATTGTCGTAGAGTGAATGGAGTGATTGATTGTCGTAGAATGAATGGAGTGATTGATTGTCGTAGAATGAATGGAATGATTGATTGTCGTAAAATGAATGATTGTCGTGGTTCGTTTTGGTTGAACCTTGTCGAGTCGTCGTACCACTGCTTGTTTGAATAGAAAGTCGGGGCGATTTGCCATACCTGGTCAATGTTTCGCAGAGTGTGAAGTAGAGCGATATTTACCGGGCGGTCTGTTCCAGTGAGGATAGGGGTGTTGTTGATGACGTCATATGTATATACATCGGGGAATGTGACACGTTGCATGCAGCATGCAACATGCAACGTGCGACATGCAGCTCTCCAGCGGGGTTGGAACGCACAGTGAGTGCATGTGTTGTGCATGGAATATGCACATGCATGGCTCCTGTTCACTCCCGTGGCGTTTGAACACAAGGAGTGGGGATACGTGATGCGCTGCGTGTGCTGTGTATGGAACATGCAGCACCCCCGTGGGGTTCTGACACAACGAGAGCTGTGTTGCAGTGTTCGACGGATTTGTTGATGTCAACTCGACGAGCTGATGTAAGAGATGACGAGCTGATGTAAGAGTTGTTTTAGGGGTGGGGTTTGGTTTGGTTTGGTTTGTGGACGTCAGTGTGGGTTTAATACATTAAGAGTGGGGAACTACGTGATGCGCAGCATGCATGTGCTGTGCATGGAACATGCAGCACTCCGGTGGGGTCGGAACGCAAAGCGAGAGCTGAATTGCAGTGAGTGACGAAATTGTGTTGACGTGAACTTGACGAGCCGGTGTAATAGTGACGTAAGGATCTTCGAGGCGTGATGTAGTTTGTGTAATAGTGACGTAAGGATCTTCGAGGCGTGATGTAGTTTGTGGATGTCATTGGGCTATCGGGCCTTCGGTTGTGGAACGACGTTGGATGTGCACGTACATGATAGGTGCAATAGTTTTTGTTGGGGGTAGAAATGTTACTGCACAGTGCACAATGATTGCACGCCGGGTATCGGGCCGTCGGTTGTGGAATGACGTTTCATGCACACGTACGTTATTACGCTTGCTGTGGGTAAAACTAAAAGTATATACAGTGATTGCACGGGTTTGACCAACCTGAGGAATGTCGCCGCTGAGAGAAGGTGAAAGTGTACCTACGTCTCATAAGATGTTTTTCTCGAATGCGTATTTTAGTTGATGTAACTAATTGGATGCACGATGTGCATGCAGGACGTCGGAAAGGGGTCAGGTTCGAGGGATTATGTGCATGAGTTTGTCCACTAACTGTTAAACTGTGTGGTGACAGTGGTGCTGGTTTGAAATGCCTTCTGTCACACGTTGTGTGTGTCCACCACGTCTTGCTCACGCTGTTTCCCGTGTGTCTACACAGGTTTTCAATCACCTCAACTGTGAACGAGGTGCGAGCACATGACATTTGTTGTTTGTGTGCTATATGCTGTGCTATGTGTGGTGATAGTGATGGTGGTAGGAGATGCTTCTGCTCGTCCCCCACGTCTTACACACGCTGTTTCCACTTTCCCGTGTCTACACTGCGGTGTATCTTTCTCGTGCTGTTTCCCATGTCTACACCTCGTTGACTCACGGGGTGCAGACACCGGAGGCATCCTACCACAAGCCCGCCACTAGTATTGGTGTAGACCCTCAGGGCCACAGGAGAGAGATGATTGCACACACATGGATAAACAAAGAAGAACTTCAAGTTGCCTTGAGCATTACTATCACGGTGCACAACATCTCCTCAGGGCCACAGGCCCACAGGCCCACAGGAGATCGTTTCTGTGGTAGCAACTCGAAGGCCCGATGGTTCCCCGCTTGGTGCAGACACCGGAGGGCCGGAGGCATCTTCTACCAGAAGTCCACCTGGGGACCACCACCACTATTGGTGTAGACGAAGCCCATGGCCCCACAGGAGAGGCCTTCTGCCGTAGGAAGTGAGACTTCTGAAAGTCCCCACGGACCAATGGTGCGGAGTTTCAGTCGAGTTGGACGTGGAAATGTTTTCGTCAACATTTCGATGTCAGCCATAATTATTAATTATGGACGTAGAAGACGTTCGACTTGATGGAAGTCGTTCAGATCTTTTCGACGTTTGCGTGTTGACGCTGGTAAAGGCATTAGAGATGATCAGACCCAATTCTAAAGAGGGAGTTTTTTTTTTTTTGTTGGGGGGGGAAGAGGGKGTCTAGAGGAAAGGGTTTTATGTTCTGGGTTTTTGGCAAAGCTTCATTAAACTTGAAAGAGCATAAGCGCGTGCATCCTCACAAATGACCTGGAAAGTTTGGGGGCCAATTTGTCACCCGAATAGAATGCCTGCATTGGTCGTTGCTGCATTTGGCCAGACTGTCAGTCCAAACGCAGTGGTCTTACTGTGGTAATGATCGGTTCTTTGTTTGTTAGGGAGAAGACGTTGCAACTTATTGGGGCCAGTACGCAGCCTATGACCTACGACCGGAAGTTGAACCGTCAGAACCGGAGGCCTGCATGCCCACGCAGGCCTCCGGTTCCGACGGTTCAACTTGAAGTCCGGCCTGGAACCTACTACCAAGGGAATGCTCTACCACCTGAGCTACGTGGGCTCACGGGGAAATTGGAGATGATCGGACTCGAACCGATAACTTCATACTTGCAAAAAATTCATTCCACCACTTGATGAAGTGGATGGGCCAATATGCAGCTCAGGCTGCCTGCGGTGGCCCCAGTACTAAGATGGCAATGCCCAATTTGAAATGGCAATGCCCCTAGTAAAAGCCAAAATGGGGTGACTATTGGGGTGGCATTTGGTCAGTATAGCTATGATAGGGGCATTGCCATCTTACAGGGGCCGAGACGCAGCTTAGCCTGCTAAGCTGCATAGTCACACCATTCCATAATTTCCATTCGGGTGGCGTGTGGTCATTATAACTATACTACATTCGGCGAACTTGGTTCAAATGCCGTGCCAAATTGCCAATGACTGGGCGTTTGTTTTCATCGACGATTTTTCGTCGTATTATGAGAACTCTCACTGCAAGTCTGCAACAATGGGCCTCGCTGCGCTTATCTCCACATGCACACAAGACAAGAAAGATGGCAATGTATCTTTCCATGTTCTAGCGGTGGATTCAGTCTCAGTTTGCACATTTGGAGACAATGGAGAGTAGTGCAGCGAGGCGCAATATCTGCACCACTTGTATTTTACGAATGTATGAAGTTACTATGAACCTTCACTGCAATATCACCATCTGCTCTACGTGTTATCTCATGGATGACGGTAGCTGCAATCGCCATGAGCAGCTGTCCAGAGGAGGGAGATATGCTTGGACTTCAGTCATGCAGGAGATGCATACGCTTGGACTTCAGTCATGAATTATAGCGGAGGTTTATCATCATCATCATCATTATGATATACCTGGAAAACTCTTGAGAGTAGCCTGAGGAAGGAGATGCATACGCTTGGACTTCAGTCATGAAATATAGCGGAGGTTTATCTTGTGCAAAAGAGCGAGGTCTATGGTGGAAGGGAGGAAGAAGAGGAGAGTGGTAGATAGCGGTCCTAGTGAGAACCTTGTTCAGGTTTGTTGGTGTTCCACGCCTGAACCTGGGCAGTCTGGACACTGGAGGAAAGGGGGGAAATCCCCGAAGGCCCACAGCCGTCTGGTGCGTGGAATAGTCAGTCATGTATTATTATGGGTTAATTGCAAAAATATTGCTTTTTCGAATTTTGGCAGCAAAATGTTGTCCTATGAAGTTTCCTTTGCAAAGAAGTTTCGCTGCAACTTTACCGGGAACCTGTAGTTTGCCAGCAAAAATGATGCGTTTCGCCAAGTTTGACAGCAAAGGGACCCGTAGGCCTCTGGCTTCAGGTACTCAGGCACTCAGTGTTCGGGCCTCAGGTACTAAGGCGCAGCAAACTATGGGTTCCCGGTAAAGTCGCAACGAAACCTCTATTTTTGCAAAGGAAACTTCGAATGAACAACATTTTTGCTGCCAAACTTGGAAAAAGCAATATTTTTGCAATTAACACTATTATTATTATTGTCAAAATGGCAATGCCGTCTGGTGCGTGCAGTAGTCAATCGTGTATTATTATTGTATGTCATTATAAGATGTGTTAAGATTTCATTCAGT